CTGTTTGGTCGATGGAGAGACAGACTGCAACTCCCATGCATGGCCTCTGCCATCACATTGTAGGGTTTGCACCGATTCTGTTCTCCTTAGCTTCCTTGGTAGCAACGTTCGCTTACTCGACCTTGTCCTCTGACTTGCCGGGCTCCCTTAAGCGAATATGAGCTCTGGAGCAGTCCAACTCTCCAGCTGCTTCGATCATACCTCTGCATGATCAAGTCCCTCCCATGGAATTCACTGGTACTTGCATTCGAACTTTTCCCTTGGTGGAACCCAGCCCCCATATGCTGATGACCAAGGCTTTCATCCGATGCAAGATTCGATGCACGCACGGAAGACCTGCCTCTGCGGTACCATGGCCTTCACTCCTTGAATCCATAGCCCTTCTTGTCGGTGTGTTGTTCACCGAAGTGGAGCTTCCAGTAGCTCCCGATCATACCTCCATATGATCTAGTCCCTCACGGGACTATATCGTGTGTATCGCATTGCTACGAACTATTCCACCACGATCCGCTGCACCATGTCGCCTCCTGGTGACATCTCCATTGCATTCTGATCCTTGTGGAATAAATTTGAATTGTGAACCCTCCATGTGTGGCCTCTGCCAATACATCGCAGGGTCTCTTCCACCTTTGATTTTGTTCGCTCCTTTGGCAATCAACCTTCATCCACCCACTCTTGGGTCACACCTAGATGAAGCACTGCTCTAGGACAGTCCGTCGCCTAGAAGCTCCCGAAGTCCACCGACTTCACTGTAATTTGTGCACCATTGTCTAGATCCTGGGCCTCTGCCCCTACCAGTACAATCTCCGCTACGCACCGCTTCCTTCAAGGCAACTTGAATGGCAACACTGTGGCATATTCTTCAAGAGTACCCGCCTCTGCGTCCTCTTGCCCCGTGCTAACGCCTTCTGAACCCAACTTCGCCTCCGCAAATTGAGTCGCCTTAGTTCCTCCATCAAATGCTCCTCCGAGATGAGGTGCATATGCCTAGAAGCTCCCTTCATCTTTGGCACCATGCAAGATGAGTCCTCTCTGATAGAATGAATGACCCATGGAACAACATGATTCTACTCTTGCCTCTGCAAGAGTTCATGTCCTTGACCTCTGTCTAAGGAAAGCACTGTGCCTCCGCTCCATGTTCCAACTTCTATGCTGGCTCTCTTCATACGGCTTGGGTACTTCGCCAAGTTACACCCAAGTTGCTCCGCTCCTCGTTTTTGCATTGAGTCGATGGTGGCCCTCGCGCCCATCATTCCACGGGTCAGCCCTCCCTTGAGTCCGATCTCCATATCGACTCTAAGTGTGCCTTCATTTAAGTTGCTTTGGGTCGCTCCTCCACTTGATCTCGCAATGCATCCACCAATGCATTCTCTCAAGCGAGATCATACGACGACTCCTCGCCGCTTGCTCAGTCCATTGAGCTTCGTGGAGTCGTTGTTTGTTGAGGTACTCCTCCTCAACATGTGAGGTCCGTCTCACATGATTCTCCCTCTGGAGAGCCGGGACTTATCCCTCCTGGATAACTGTCCCATTGGAACAACATCTCTCTTCGTTTCAGAGACCACCATCCCCTTGGACTACTCCGATCTGCTGAACAAACTGTGCATTGTTCTGTCTCCTGCAAACGCACTTGCTAGATTACGACTCCACGTCAATACAGCCCTCGCTGCACCACTCAAGGCCTAGCAACATGCTGAACTCGTTGCACACTCCAGCCTCCTACGGACGTATCCTTCACATGCCGAAGAGAAAGTTCCAATGCTCCATGGCGCCGAGTTTCGGTCGCCTTGGGATGGCTACGAACATTCCATCGTCCGCATACAAGCCCATGCATGAGTACCGAATTCTTTGAGTTAGCAATTCCCCTCACCTCTGTGAGCTTTGCACAACTCTTTCGATCGCTGAGCAACTCATTCCACCTTGCATGGTCTCATCCTTTACCAAGCGCTTCGCTTGTCTTGAGCACCATCAAGTATAGTTGTCAACGTTGAGTCGTAGCTCAAACTCAGCCATCCCAACCTTTGTGCGCTCCGCATTCTTCCAAGCTTGCCTGTTCTCGTGGTGCCTCTTGCGTGAAGGGTTGGCAATTCCTCTGAATGCCAATGTCAGATGCCCGCTCTTCCGAGCGACTCCTTTTCCCTACATCTCCATGCCTGTTTTCCCCCAAACAGTCGCGCGTGTGCTGACTGCCCTCAACGCAGCCCCGCTAGGTCCCCCACGTTTGCATGCTAAGTGTTTCTATGAGTGCTTGTCCTGCTCTGATACCATCTGTCACGGACTTAGCTGGTTTTGCCTAAGTCGTGTGGCACCCTTGCGTGTCCGTCCACAAAGGTCAGCCTCCCCGAAGCCTCCCATTGTCCCTTAAGACCAACAAAAGAGAGAACGGGTTAGAGAGAATGCCTCACTCGGGATCCACAAGCAAACATCTCCGAAAAATACTTCATAGACAATGCAAATTACAAACAGACTTTACAAGCTCTGAACAGTTGCACAACAAAGGGTAAAATGGTCCATTACAGACCGAGAATCTCTCGCACGTGTCCACATGACACAACCTTTATTTACAAGCCTAAAGAGGCCACCAACCCAACTAAAATGGGACTATTAAGCCTTCGGCCGCCCCTCTACATGCTGTACAAGGCATGAACATGCCAAAAGATACGGACATACATAAGCATTACATCAAACACCTTATTTACAAGTTTGTCCGTGACAGGATGCTAGGCGCGACAACAAGTTCCCTTCAAGGTAACGTGCGAACTTGCGAAAGATTATTCAACACCCGACACTATACCGAAGCCCCATCCAGCCTTGTGCCACCCGGGGGTTTCCAGGGTGCTGAGATGGCTAACATTTCGTGTGCAACAGCGGGCTGCAGAAATCATCCCGTGGCACGCGAAAACAGAGCTATTTTGGGGCTGTTTTGCTCGGTTCGGTGAGCGGTCGCACTGTAGCGCTGCAACTTGTTCGAACTTATATTTTTACAAGCAAAAGGACTTAAAACCAAGCCAAAACATACTACCAAGCAGTTGTACATGTAGACGAGAGCGACGAACGGTTCGTTGAACGGAGTTGTTGCGGGTGTGCGACGACCGTTCGTGACAACATGGACCGCCCGCTACCGGACGGACAGTGCTACAGTGCTACAGTAAGAGGAAGAAATATTTAAAATCGCTCGGTAAGCTCTGATGTACCGCTCGGTATGCTGGTACCGTACCATACCGAGCCAGCCTCGAAACATCGGTACGGTACGGTATTGCATACCTTGCTTTCAACCAATTATCCTTCTGAAAGCCAGTTCTAAAATTTAGTAATTTGACCTGCACAAAGGTCTTATCAACAGAAATAAATACAAATCCATGGCCAATACACATTGGAGAATTAGTTGTGGTATTTTACATATTCACCTCAGATTTTCAGGAAAGAAAAGGAAAATTAAGGAAATGAGCGCCATAAGCTATATGGTGCATGCAGCAGCATTTGAATCGAGTAACAATTAGGCCAAAGTTCTTACAATTGTCACCATGAGGATAAAGTTAGTCCAAACGTTCATTCTCAATTAGGAACTTGATACAAATTGAAAAAATGATTTGAAAGGTATTGGCAATCTTAAGAAGGGAAATCAACATATTTGTAGAGAGAACAAGTAGGTAGGAGAAAGTTACAGAATAATTAAAATATTTGATATATAGTTTACAGTAATTAAATTCATATGTTACAGGAAGTAATTATTATGATAATGGATCTACATATGCATATTGAAGTAAAACAGACTTCCTCATTGATTTAAAATACAGCAGTATGTTATAAAATGAACAAAACATTTTTGTTTCATTCACACAAAATAATTTTATATAAAGAAAACAGAAAAGATAACAATTAGTAGCATAAAGATGCTGTTTATAAGCCAGGGTAATAGAATGCAAGATTTATCTGATTTGATTTTCCATATTAATATTGTTTGCATGAATCTATCATTTCAAGTTCTTATAATGTATTTAATATGAGGCATTCTCTCATAGAGGACAATCTAAAACAGCTATAAACAGACTTAGTGTAGCAACAGAAACTTTTATCTGCAGTCTGCATGAGTCATTTTGGTTTTTCTAGAATAGACCTAAGAGTCTAAGACTACAAAAATAAAATATAAGCACAAAAATTTTATAGCAGATTATGAACATGTATGTGGTAACTTTTGAATTATTGCGGGATTACAGCAATATACAGGGACCACAAAATTGGAAGTAATGTGGAAGAAAGTGACAGAAGTTTACTGGCGCATTAGCAATATATAGGTGGTCCTACCAAAAAGAAGTTTAATTCAGATTGACACACAGGTCTTCAAAATGTAGGACATATGGATATAGCACATAAAAATTGACATTGTAAATGCTTTTCCTTAATGAATTATTTCAAAAATGGTGACACTGTGAACTGACAAATGCTTACGATATATGCATCTATACCAGTTAGGATATGCTGAAATTAGAATGATTATAGTCCATAAAAGATGATATAAAGAGCATACCTTTTTGGTGGCAATAAGCTCTGCTTCTAATGCATCAACACGGTTGATTGCAGCATTTAGCAACTCTTGTCTCTGATACTCAATTTCAGAAGGTTTTGCTTGAAGTATCATAACTTTTTCTTCCAGTTCATGTAACCTTTTCAACACAGAAGAAAGGTCATCTGCCTTTCTGACTTTAAGGGGCGATAGAGGATGAAATTCTTTAGGCATAGTATCTTCTAGGAATTCAGCATTGCAAGCATTAAACTCCTTATTTCTTCTGAACCCATATCTGGTGACAGGTAAAAGTAATGTACAAAAAGCCATGACGAAGGCAGTAAGCCATGTGACAGTTTGACCTTGTCTCATTTTTGGAGCATCACTTGTGTCAAACAATGACAAAGCACCTGAAGTGGAATAAAAATAATTTATTAAGCTAAGTCTACATACAAATCTAACAAGCATCTAGAGAAGAATGTTAGATTACCAAAAGTTGAAACAAGAAGCATTAGAATATAGCTTGATAAAACAATAAACAGCATCAGTTATTTGAGAAGCTGTAGTAGAACATAACCATGCAGATACATAGCACATAACTAAGCAGCTTATGCCTCATTGTCCTCAGCGTTCAGATAATTTTGGAAAAAGTGGTTACTTAATATGGTATTTGCAACTCAGTTTACAGTTATTAACTTTCAGCAGTGGTTTTGGACACAACTTTGTGGAGGGCCCTTCTAGAGGACAGTAGGAAGGCATTTGTTGTCTTATTTAAATCTGGAAATCCAATTGCACAGTTTCACCTTCAAAGAATGTACTGTCTAGAATGCACCACATGTTCCAACCTATCACTATATTCAGGCAGCACCTGACCCTTTGGAGAGAACTAAGATAAGAGACCTGGGATTCAGGTGAAATCATAAAGCAAAAGTACCTAATTCCATTGTTAGGTTCAAGTTGTTCAAAAACAATTCCTGGAATTGATTGCAGACAATACAACCAGAGAATGATGTAATTTCTTTTCCTTATGTTCTTCACAGTGAGAATTCTACATTGGAATGCCATCAACAAAAACTTAGTCATTTCAAAGGAGCAGCAGTCATACAGTCACTTGGCATAAGGTGAGTGCGTATGCACACCATCCAAAAGGTACTAGGATCTCATTGTAAACAACCCATTTGGAATCCATCTCAATTTCACCTCATCCACCCCTCTGGAGGATCAAGTAGTGGAGTCATCTTTGTGACTTCTATAGTTTATAACTGGAAAGCAGACCGGCAAATGAAATATTTTATGAGAGACTGTCACTGGAGTCCCAAATGTTTTTCGATGTTAGCATGCACATTAAAGAACTGGTATGAAGTGCCAAAATCAGGAAACGGTTACAAAAGTGTCCAGGTGCTGTTTATCCACATATCCACCAAAAGATACTCAGCTTTCTTCCCCATGCTTATAGAGGTCACCAGAGTGAAAGATTTTTTCGAGAGGAAATAAATTCTGCCAGAATGAATAACACGGAAGGCAAAGCCAAGTATGGGATTCATTCTTCTATATTGCAGATCCACAAATATGGGAGTCATCTACCTATGAAGGTTTGCGGCATCTGATCCATGCATCAGGCATTGGCCTGATTTTACATCCTAACTTCCCGTAGGAACATTTTTTAGGAAAACCCTCCATAAGAATGAATACCAAAAAGATCATAATCCTAGCAGTGACCATTTTGCTTCTAGTACTAGACCCCATATCTGAAAAATCAAAAAAGAAAGAAGGTTTTGGTGCATTGTTAAAGTTTCTGTATTCCAAGCTCTCTCCATATGCAGGGGCGATATATAATAGTCCATGTGTGGGCCAATAAAAATAATTAAAAAACAAAAATAATTAAAAAAATCCCCATTTCTAGTGGTCCGATCCACTTCAGTAAAAATAATTAAAAAAAATAGCAGTGGGGCCCATCCAACTTGGTATTAAAAAAGAAAAAAAAAATCCTAAAATAGTGATTAGGGCTCACAAATGCGAGCCCTCTTCTCACGTTCAATGCTTCCGTCGTCGCTACCGCATTCCTTCTTCTTCCCAAGTATACTCCCACCTCTTATCCTCCTCCTCCTCCTCTTCCTTCTTCCTTTCTTCTTCTTCTTTTTCCTCCACCATTTCCTCTTCTTCCTTCTTTCGTCCTCCTTCATCCTCTGTTCCTCCACCACTCCTTTCTCTTCTTCCTCTTTTCCTTTCTCCTAAAAATACTGTTACATACCGGTGTACCGACATATTATACACTAGTATTGACCGATAAGTACCGGTCCAACAAATTAGCAAAACAGGTGCAGTACCTAAAACAATGATCCTTGGCAGAAAGGCAAGTAAAAGATTATGAAATAAATTCTGACATCAGTCTTTAAAATGTAATTCAGAACACCACTTTAATGGACGAAAATAACATAATTATGTAGGTCTACCATGATCATTCCTCCGCTGCAGAAATGAGCTTCCAATCAATGATTGCAGACGTAAAGAAATGGAAGATACAATTACTCATACCACAAAGGATCATTTTAAATAATTAGAGAGAAGAAAACAACAGTACCCATGCACTAGGTTCTTGTCCAGCTTTTCACTAGATATTTCCATGTGGATGCAGTGAGATATACTATTTACTGATCAGATTGACTAAAACCAGCAAATCAAGCTTTACTTCCAAGAAAATTGTAAGGGATTTAAAATAACAGACCTTTTAAGGGAGAGCAGATTGGACCAGAAATTTGACCCTTCCAACCTGAATCTACATCCTTAACAACTGGTGCAGATTCTTCATGGTTTGGAGAACCAACAGAAGTACTGTACTGCATTCTGGTCTGCATAATTATTGAATCATTTAAGCAATCTACTATAATCAAGGCAATAATAAAATCATAATACTTATAATAACCTTGAAATTACACAATAATTTCCATTTACTTATGATCAGTGCAAGCGTATCATTTAACTTCAAATATGATGAAATGAACAATCATGTCTGCTTGAATATGTAATATTACTCCACAATCCAGTAAATGATCAAACATCACTAGATAGTAGATATAGTTAAATCTCTGATTACTAGGTATAGAAAAATAATTATGGCAACTAAAATGAATGGTGTCACATCCCAAAGCAATTTCACATATTCATCTTGAGGAATACCAGCAAAGGAGAATCAATTAATCAGCTAGACATTCTTTTTCATGCTAAAATCTCACGGGCACAGTTCCTTTGGAAATTTCACAATCACATCCAGGCAACACTACGTGGTGGTTAAGACCCTTGTTCCGAGCTGTGGAAGAGTCTGACAAAGCAGAGGATCCTTGGTGGCAAGGGCAAATTAGAAGTTGCAGATGGGTGGAGGTTCTAGGAGATAGTTGTTTGGGCATGGATGTGGAATGATGGGAAGCATGGTTAATGATTCAAGAGGATGGTCTAGACTCTAGAGTTAATGTGGTCAGGGTACACTGGTGAAATTGTTTGACGGTACACTAGACAATCTAGAGTTAATACAGGAACATAATTTCTAGAGTTAATGATTCAAGACAATCTAACCTACCATGTTTGATGGTTTTCATCTTTTGAAAGCTCAAGACACTCACACCCCAACTTCTTATCCACAAATGAAAAAACATGTGATTAAAGATGAAGAATGAAAAACAAACCAGAAAAGAAAAGCTTTGAAGAACATCTTCAGGTTTCCATGTTACAGCCATGGAAAGGTACAAAGCAGAATCTTTCAGGAACTAAGGTCATTTTTTAATGGTCTAGGAAACAAACCAGCATATGACTCTAAAAGAGAAGGTGCAGTCAATATATCTCCTTAAGAAATTCATACCTCTTTCCCAGATGTCATCTGAGGAACAGGAACATGGTTGTTTTTGGTTTTAGAAGAAGAGCCATCAGCTACTAAGTTAGATTTGGCAATATATGCATCACTTTCTTTTACCTAAATCAAAAGAACTAAAAGATTTATATAAATGAAATAATTTCAGTAAATATGAATATATATATACATTTACATATAACTTACAACTGGGTAATGCATCTCATCAGATGCAACAATCTTCCCCTCATAGTTTGGAAGTGTAACAATTTGCCTAGCGCATTGTGCTTCACCATCAAGCACCATCTGCTTAACAGTATAATTCCAGTAAACAGTGTATGAGATCTTAACATTTAGCATAGTGAGAATGAACTCACTGGAAATGCATATTTGATCTCAATATGAACACAAGATATATATATATATATATATATATATATATATATATATATATATAGAGAGAGAGAGAGAGAGAGAGAGAGAGAGAGAGAGAGAGGGACCTTCAATATTTTAGGGTCTTTCCATGGACCACGATCAGATCCAAGGCATCCACCGAACTCAGTACAGGTACAGCTACCACCAAGAAATTCTGGCAACTCACTGGAGAATCAAAAACAAACAATCAGGAAGAAAGTTGAAGTTAGGAGTAGAGCATACAAGAAAACAAGTAGATTCACATTAGAATACAAGCAGAAGACAAAACCTGGAGTCGATAAATTCCAGAAGCTGTCTTTGGTACTTGGTTCCAAGTACCTAACAAACAGTTGCAAGAATATATTAGAAGTTTCTCAGTTCAAAGGAAGAAGTCAACTACCTGTTTATTTAAAGAAAAAAGGTATATTATCTGTATCAGTACTCGACATGCTTACATGGATCTTGGAAGTAGTTTTTGGATCAAGAAAAGTTTTCACAGTATTCCACAGAAGCCTAAAACCTGAACCAGCATTAATGATGAACATCCTGAACAATGTCTGCAAAAACATATATAGGAAATTATCATAGATTAATCAAAAGATAACATAAAATTATCACAAACATGAGTTAGCATAGAAACAAGAAGAGCATCATAGATGATGAATTTTCAGGATGCTAGAAAAAGAACAGCTACCTCTGGGTAGTTGTCATTATCAATCTTTTGCAACCTCATAATCAGTTCCCGTGCAGCCTTGGTGAAGTTTTTTAGACCCTTCAGAATAACAGCATTGTTACACATGTTACATAATTACACTTTTAATACTATAAGGAAACAACTTTCACAAGCAAATGGTCAGAATGATGTAATTGACAACTGAAAACATACCACTCCTTCAACATCTAAGATTGTTGTGCTTGAATCAATATGTTTTTTTGCAGCAATTGAGCAAGCCGGAAACTTAGTCATGAAGCACCTTTCAAATTCCTTCACATGATATCTTACATATCGATCTATGGTAGTTACTTGCATTAGCTTGTTTGGGTTGACTTTTCCAAGCCTTTCAATGTAAACTGGTCTTCCATCCCTATCTACACCATGATAACCATGCGGATAATACTTAAGAACTTCATCTAACTCTCTGTAATCAAATTCCTGATGAAGAAAACAATATTAGTTCATTCAGTTCATTCCAAATAGAACAAAGTAAAAGGAATACATAATTGTACATATTTGATTATGGATCTTTCAAAAGACCATATTGGCAATCATATTTTCTTATAATTGCATATATATGCCATATTTCCTTAGTGACAGTAACCTTCATCAAAACCTGCATTGGCAGGAGCATGTGCACTAGCCAGATCTTCTCAGTATATGTGACATTAACATGTTCGTATTCAATCATACACACTATGCTACATACCTTTTTACAGCTTTAAATTAAACAAAGCATTAGCAAAGGTCTTAAAAGGGAAGATCTTCATCTTCTAACATCTATACAAAGGGTAAACTTGTAAAGTGGACTCGACAGCATCTTTGACCAATATACACTTTCTACATAAATTGTTAGAATTTGATAAAAATATGGAATTATCGAAATTGTTATTGTAAAAGAAGTTTTATCATTTGATAAGGAGTAAACAGAAAGGAGATTGTATTCACCAAACAAAAGGAGAAGTTGAGATTCATGAGGCATCAATGCAGAAATGTGACCAGAGGAAGACCTAAATGCATTCTTATTCCTCTATATTGCACATCTTGTTATGTTTGAATGATGATATTAACAGAGCATAAAGTCCTTCGTCGACCATCATTTCTTTACTTTTTTCTTTTGTCTCTGTGTTGTGATCTAGAGTCTGGTCAAATTTCAAGCTACATCAGTGTTCAGTTTTGCTCCTAACGCTCTGGCATTGCCCTCCAAGCTTCCCTTCTATAGATGTATTAACCAAATAAATTGTTGCAGTTTTTCTTTTGATATAGGGTAGCAAAAGTAGGCTCTTTCAAACTTCTGCCTACTAGTGAAGAGAACTAATAAAATAAAGCAGAAAATCATGTTAAAGATACCAACATAAAAGGATTTTGGTGCTAAAGAACTGAGACCTGAATCCATCATTTGTTAGTTGGTCCCGGAGTCGAGTATGGTTTATGCAAGCATAAATGGTTAGTTGTATTCTTCATGAAAGCATATTAAGCTCTTAGTCCTTCCAACTATTCAAAATAAGATATCATGTCCGAATCAATATTGGTCTACATTATAATGGAAACAATAAATTCTAATAATATACATAAGTAGCCAAGGTAATAAGTTGTTACTAAAGAAAGAAGACAAGGGATATGTTGTATGGTGAAATTTGATGATGAAAATGAATTAACTTACATCCAAGTGAGAATGATGATATGCAACCCTAAATTGTTTCTAATCCTCATAAATGTTAGTGGGCTTCTAAATTTTTTTGTTCAAAATATGTTGCCCATAATTTTATTGATAAAATAGAAGTGGTTATTCATAAATTATTGATGTTCCCATTAAACCGAAAACTTATATAGGTTATATGCAGATGTTAAATAATTAGCATACAATGAGAACAAGTAAGATATTTATTCACCTCTAGAGACTGGGTTGAAAAGAAGGAAAAATATTTATTACCTTAGTGATTGTATCAGTGCCAAATTCCTTCCTCCATCGAAGCATTTCAGTCCACATTTGTTTTGCTTTCTCAATATCAAATTTTCGTGCTTTTAGGAATCTAAACATAAACAAGTCATCAGTACAGCAAGCATCAAAAAGGCTAGAAAGTCATCATGGATATTACAACAGTTTACACAAAGCATAATAGCCTATATATTAGCATAAAGAAAAGCTTGATCATTTTTAGACTACTAACAGTCAAGGTAGTAAAACAGATGGAATAAATCTTCTAAAGCTTCTCTATCAGTATTATGAAAAAGATATGATTTATTTTATCCATGTCCACATAACAATCACAGAAGTGATATATATGGTGCAGATTGCAATCACATATTTTGCCAAAGTGATGCAAAAAAGACCACTATGATTTCAGCTTTATGCGAGTAGGAGATGTATATAATTATATAAGTATGTAAGAAAATAGTAAAAAGAAAAAAAAAAAGGTATACATAGGGCGTACCAAGTGCACGAGGCTCCCACCAAAGGTATACATACAACAAAGAAAAAAAAACAAATGTAGTTCCGCCGACTGGGATTTAGTGAAACTGAGTTTGGATTGCAGTTGCCTATTCTTTGTCTAAAAATAAAATATTGAATTTTAACACAAAAATAAATAAGATCAACAAACTCAGATCTCATAGATAATTATAATAACACTTAAAAGTTCTGAGGATATAATAGACATTAAAATTCTCGTATGTCATTGTTGACATGCAAGAAATTTAGTGATAGCTCATAATAGATTTAAATTGTTCTTCAGTTCAAATTATAAATGTGAGAGTTCATTGTGGTAGGAGAACATCTAGCATAAATTTCTGAAGGTTATATTTGAAAGCAAAAGCAGAGACATGTCTATATAAAAATAAAGAAACAATGAACTACCTCAACATCATATGAGGATCATCATAATTTGCTGGTAGCAGTTCCTCCAAAATTAATGACTGGCGAAAAGCATCAATAGCTTGTAGCTCCTCAATGTTACTAACAGTGTCAAACTTCTTTCTACTTTTCCTCCTGAAAGATTGTCTCAATTTTATTGATGCACTTGATGCCATTTTCTTCAAAGATCCGATTCTCTTCCACTTTTCATGTTCTAAGTGCTCAAGATCTGATTTATGCACTTTTTTATCATCATGACTAGGAACCCCTTCGAAGCCTGAAACTCGTGAACAAAGTTAATCTCACTATTTGGTAACTTCAAGAAGCTTCTACTAATATTAAAATGAAAATGGTAAATATAAATGAATAATATTATATAGGTATATTTCTCATATGTCCTATCTTTCAAAATCCCAGTGCATCGCAAATTTTTATATCGTTGCCAGCTGGGTCCCATATGATGATCGCTGTGAATTCATTTCTATTAGAGAGGTATTCAAGGATAATATCAGTTAGTCTAGGACCAGAAACTGTCAAGTGAAATATTTTTGGGCCAACTATTACATAACTAGAATTAAACAAAATGTTCTAAAAGATGAAGGTCATCAATCAAACAGAGTTGTTTTCCTATGGGCACAAATTAATACTATTTCTTCTCCAGATAAGTAGTTTTCAGTAGCTTTGGTTTGTTCGATATATGCAAAGCACATCACACAGTGTAGAAATCATTTTACATGTCAGTGTCACTAACGTTACATCATTACATCTTACATTATTTTTTAATAGACAATTTTATTTTAATTGGTAAATGATACCTATTTATGCAACAGAAACAGTAAGAACGTCTACAATGATTGTTTCTGTTGTTTTATCCAAATCAGACGGGAGTTTAAGCTTCAATAAAATCACATAAAGCCTATGCTGGAGACGTAGAGCACCGAGGGATATAGACAGCTTGAGTTTTGCTATTCTAGCTAGCCTAACAAGACTGAGAGTTTGATTTGACGAATAACAGATGGGCACCACGCAGAGCTCTCCTAAAAAGCCAATTTGATTCATAGGCACTTCGCAGAGCTTAACATCTAACAGCAGAGGAACCTCAAACCCTACCAAACTATTAGTCGCCAGATCTACCTGAAATTGAACAAGGCTCACACGCAGGATGTAAGACATGATCAGAAACGAGAAACCCTACAGATAGAAGATTGGTGAAACAACTTACGGGGTCTGGAAGGTCGGTCCATCAGTTCAGTCATATCTGCCAGAAAATCACACTTCAATCTTTAGAGAAAAGAAACGGCTTTTTCCCCTTTGTGCATCAGAAACAGCCAAAACTATCGTCAAGGGTGGATGAAAGAAAGAAAGAAACTGCAGAATAGTCGCCTAAGTAACCTTGGGTGGAACCCACGAAGAGCCCTAGTAGAAACGTCAGAAGCTCTGTAAGCGAGCAATTCCGATGCCCACGGAGAACAGCTCAACTCGCTCGCAGCGAGCTGGACAGGAGAGGGAGAGGAGGAGGGCGAGGTGCCTTAAGGTTCGGGGCGGCGCTCCTCGGGCGCGATCGGACGGTCGGCGAAGCGCATCACCAAGGCCTTCAGAAAGAGCGCGCTCAATTCTCTCTCTCTCTCTCTCTGTGGCGACTGCTTGAAGAAACTGATGTTAGAAAAGAGTCGGTTGGCAGTTGTAACGCAAAGGACAGATCAACAAATGGTATCCTGCCACGTGGACTTTAATTTAATTCTCTCTTCCGTCAACATTCCTACATATAAAAATAGAATTATTCTTTTTTTTACTTGCAAATAACTCTTTTTTATTAAAAAAAATAGCAATTTACTTCTGATGAGCAAAATTAGTGATTAAAATTAAGTCAATTCATTCAAAAATAATAAAAAAGTTTTTTTGCCAATTCATTCAAAATGATATACATTTTGAGATGAATGAACCAATTAATCAGTTTTATATTAAAATACTTTTTAATTTTAATATTTTTCCTTCAAAAAAGATTTATCTAAATTTCTTTTAGAAACAAAATCAAGATGATGATACTTGATCAATTGTGTTCAATATTGAAATGGTCCTTTTCCATTAGTCAATTTCAAAGTTCCACCTGTAGCACAGTTGCATTTTGTTGACTTCAAGCCTCAAGTAGATAGATCATAACCTAATTAAATAAAGCTCAACTTGCATGATCTCAATCTTGACATTTGATTAGATATCATGATCACACATCAAATTTTCCAGGTTTATGGCTCAGTCAAGAAGAAGTATGTATGGAAATGAGTGATGACCAAGTCTATCAAGAACATGTATGCATTATTCAAAATGTTTGGACCAGATCAAAGAGAGAACATCACAATCTAAATGGTCAGACAAATTAAAGACTGTCCACATAGCCATCATTATCAATGCAAGCTTGATATCCCATTGCATGTTGTGGACTTAACATGACTAGTTCAGCATCTGCTGTCACCTTTGAATGAGTGTTGATAAGATACAGTTGGCATTGGAGGTCACAAGAAACCTTTTCATCAAAGAAACAATCCAAGGGTTTCATTGGAAGCATACAAAGAGTCGATCCATGATGACACCAAGTTGTCTTAATGCTATATCATGTTTACTGCAGTCTCAAACTCGAGATGCCTCAGTGATTACAATATTAATTGATTTAAAGGAAAAGAAAACCAAAACAAGATAGACAGCAATTCAAGTATCGACACCGAGATGTTTGATTGAGTAGCTTTAAGTAACTTTGCTGAAAAGTACATGTATTTACTGCTACAAAGCATTTGGCAACCGAAATTATCCACAAGTTCATGTATTTACAGTCGGCGAGGTTGGTCACGCACTTGAGTATCTGAACAAAGGAAGCAAATCTTCATTACAACACTGGAGGTGTTGGTATCAGCAGTACAATGTACAATATGTGATTTCTGAGTACACACATCAAGTCCAGTTCTTCCTCTTTGCTCGGAACATGAATAGCTTGTCCCTCCACCGGGCTGTAACAAAAGTTAGTCTATTAGTTGCACAAATCAATTGAATATGATTATAAAAACAGGTGATAAAATACCAATGCAGTTCAGATTAGGATTCAAATATAGTTTAACAACTTCTTTCAGCATTTTGTGCTTTGGGAAAGGACAAAGGTGTCGATATGCTTATTAACGGTGTAAGGTAAATGACACATTTGCTTCTATCACAAAGGAGAGACATCGAGACAGTTAAGGAACTTCTTGGGACCCAAAGCATTTTCCTCACAAGGGTTCGCAATAGAAAGCTCATAGATCATTTATAACTATAGTTACAAATTTATTTCACCAAAGTGCACAAACAAGTTTCAATATGTTGCTAGAAAAAAACTAGGTCGAAATTTCCCCAAAAAGATGATTGGGATCTGAATGCAAAACCATGGATAAAGAGATGAAGATCATTTGATCATACCAGCGTCTCTGTATCTTTCCTCAACCGAAGCAATCATCATATTACGGAGCATATCAAATTCTTCAGCTTCGTAGCACGGCTGATCGTCAGGCCTGTCAGAAACAAATGTTTTAATGTTGGATGGCATGAGATCAACATAGGCCTAAACCACAACCTTGGACAAGTAGGACAATTAGAAACAACTTGAATATCTCTGCTACTGTACCATGCCTGGATCCAAGTGAAAGCTTATACATATGTGCCTTCAGCCTATCTCATCCTAAAATGACATCCTGATGGTTGATATTGACAAATTGAATTAGAATATGAATCAAGTGCACTGAGCATGCCAATTGTCAGTTTCGATGATACAAACTACAGAGTCCATGCTATAGAAAACCACACTCAGAGAAGTAGTAGTGGAACTCCAGCGTACCGGTGTGGTCATGACAAACCAAACAACCTATCACATATGTTAGTGGTCCAACTTATGAGGAATAGGTGAAACAAGCAATGCTCTCTATGCTACAATGTGATATGATGGATGGATAATCTATACAAGCCACGCCACCCAAGCAGTCAGCATGTAACCCATTGGAGGAGTATCAGCAGTGGGCACAGGTGTGTGCCATACTGCACATGGTATTTTAATTGGGCACACACTGTGCCAGTCCACCAGTCCATAAACCTGAGGTTTGCCAATCCACAGGATCCCCTCCTGATAACTTTCTCATCTTGTGATGTGCACCCTATACGGAAGGTTTTATGAGAGACCAGGCAGAAGGTTTTTTTTGTTTTTCCGAGATGCAAAACACTGTTTCAAGAAAATGCATCATCGAAGCAGAAACAAGCAAGGACCAAGGTTCGCCGTACCGTACCGTACCGGCGTTTCGACCCACGCTCGGTACGGTACGGTACGGGTGTACCGACCGGTATACCGAGGTGTACCGAGCGGTACACCCGGGTGTGCCGAGCACTGTAGCAGTGCTACAGTACTGCTACAGTACTGCTACAGTACTGCTACAGTACCAGAACGGTAAGAGGCGGTCCGCGTACCGAATGTCTGTCGGACCGGTACGTACCGCCCGTACCGGGCGGTACTGTTCGGTACGGCAAACCATGGCAAGGACCTCTTCGAATATATTTGTTAGACATATCTCCATAGTCTATTACAAAAACATTTAAAAGAAGTTACCTATCAAGTTCTGTGAATAGAACAATGTCTGATTGAACAGTTGATGCTGCTGACTTGGTCGGCTCAACTATTCTCATTCCGTTGCTGTATACAAGATGTCTGTTCACTTGTATGGGCACCTGAATGATTTTTAAAGTAAACAAATTCAATTCTAAGATGCATAACGAAAGATAAACTTTGACAGAGTAAATAACACAAATATGCTGCAGTAGAAACCTGCAGTTTGATTCAGTTAATAACTACTTCATCATTCAGTTATAAATGCATATATATACTAGTGAGACAAATGCATATATGTCCTGTGTTCAAATTATATCATTTCATGAATACATGGAAAAACATGTAAACAACCATTGATGGATCTAATCAGATTTAATACACTGACAAGATAAATGTATGTGCAACTACATCAATAAGTAGGCCTGTTGTTGGCACAGGCCTGACCTTCAAAATCTAGAGCTAAGGTCAACATCAGCATGAGTATGAACTACTGCAACAAAAAAATAAGGATACCCAAGAACCATTTTTGATGCAGGAACTCTGATGTTAAGGATTTATCCTAAGCAGATTTTTCAACTGAAAAATGAAAAACCAAGAAGGAATTTTTCAGAGGAACGAAGACTCGAATACATTGTGAAGTGGGCATTCAGTGACTCTTATTTTGACTATCATGAATCCCATGACTGCAGTATATTCCTTAATTTCACCTATAAATCTATCACACAACCCTTAGGTCTCTGTCTTCCGTGAACTGTGCTTGTTTCCCAACCATCATCTCCAAGGCATGAATGAAAATATTCTAGACTTGTAGTTGCTCATATTTCCTAAATCTATTCTTGAAGTTCTATTATTTGAAATTACGTAGCAGATTTTTGCTTCCCTTCTATATCCTCCTCAGCAATTTGTAGCATGGAAATTGTTGTTATGTCTTCCATATTTCATCTTGACTATACTTGAATGATTATATGCAAATTTCTCAGGAAAAGTACCTAGGATGGATATAATAGGAAGAATGCTAGCCAAGATCATGATAAATAGAACACCATTAGCCAATATTGCTAATCTACTTTTGGGATCATACCATCATCTACCAATTACCTACAAAAGAAAATGATCTCCGAAAAATCCATGAAGTATGGAAGATTAAGCCTCTCTTAATGCTTTAACAGATCAAAATAAAAGGCGGGAAAACATGGTTGAAGAAAGAAAAATGGCAATTCAAAGTACATTCTGCACAATTAACCAAAGCATAAAAAGACCATATAGCTTCAAGTTGCAATGAAAAAAAAAATCTTACTTTGCATCGAGCAGCTATATTAATGGCATCTGAAGGCCGGAGATCAAAGCTAATAGTATCTTTTCCATTTCCAATCTGCACGCGAGCACATGTTTAGTTTCGAATTAATTTAATTTTACAGACATTAGTATGTAATATGGAGAAGACGATATTTGCCTTTGTCAGGTATAGTTGAGAGAAGTAAGCTTCATTCACTCGCTTAGTGACTCTAACAAGTTGTACCTGAAAGAAGATGCCTCTTCTCATAATTACATAATTCTACAAGAATAGAAGCCTGAAACTACAATACAAGAGTAGCCAAAGTGATACGACTAACAGCATACATTGACAGTAGATTATCTAATTGGTAAGAAAGAAAGGCTCCCTCGATTAGTTACATTCAATAATCGATAAAGTGTGAGCACATATTAAACCTTTGAACAGGCAAATAAGAGCAAGAAAGCTTGACCAGTTAACTTTGGAGAACCCAGGAAACAATTATGGGGATGTCAAAATTGGATGCATATAGAAGAAAAAGATGATTCAAACAACTTTATTCTGCTCCAACTTACAGCATATCCCATCTTCTCAATCATCTCTTTGACTACTTCATAAACAGTTGGTCTAACCTGAGAAACACAGTATCCCTTATTTTAGAAGGAAAAGGGTGTAAAGTTAGCTTCATAATTCACAAATGCTAACAGATCTTACAAGCTGAACATTGTTGATAGCAGCCATTAGCATAGTACATGGCATCTCCACTAGAAAAGGAAAAACATGTTACACATAACTTTTTGAAATTAGACATGTATATAGAAAATACTCAATTCAGAGGAAGAACACATACAGACAAGGATAGGAAGCAAAATATCACTTCCATCTTCCATTTTTAATACGATAACAGGGCGAGGAGCATAGTACAGTAAGTTTCCAGCTTGAGGGTCATTATGCACACATCTTAAATGTCGGCCATCACGCATCTTTATCATGAGACCATCTGATCTGCTTCTCACCTCCACTACATGAAACAGAAATATATCAACTGATAAGAAACTTCATATTCCCTCAAGAAAATCTTAATGCCACACATAACAATAATTAATTTGTTGTTGAACATCATATGATACTAAAAACCAAGGATCACTGTACCGCCCGAAATGGTATGATTTGGGTAGCATGCACCGGTCTAGGCATGGACCGATATGTGGGCCACCTTGTTTCGGCCGGTCTGAATTAAAATAAAAAAATCAAAAAGTGGTGAGCCCAGTCCATTTTAGCATTAGAAAAATTAAAGAAAAAAAGGAGATTAGGGCTCTTCTAGCGAAGTCATGGTGTTGCCTCTTCGCTACTACGATGCTGCAGTGGCACTACCTCTTCCTCTTCACTGCTGCAGTGGCACTCTTCGCCATTGTGATGCTGCTGCTTCCCTTCAACGTTGTCGCTGTTTCTCAAGTATTGCTACACTTTTCCTCCTCCTTTTCTTTCTTCTTCTTCTTTCTTCTTCCTTTCTCCTTCTTCCTCCTCTATTCCTCCATCGGACCTTCCTCTTCAACCTCTTTTTCTTCCTCGTCAAAACACTGATATGCACCGACGTACCATGTGTTGGTGCATTGGTACGAGGCGGCATGTGTCGTGCCGCCGATCGGCCAACACACTGGCTTAGACTGATAAACATTACCAAAAACGAACCACATAAAACAATAAGTGCATTGTGGATGTGCATGTCTTGATTCCTGTATTTTGTTAGTGCCAAAATTACCTATACAGTATACTATGTCAAGGCACTAGTAACCCTATGTACACATATGATGCTGAGTATTGGACACTGAGAACTAGATGTTTGCAACGTAACTCAAACCCTCAACCACTTAATTGGTCAACCAATGCACTAACCATTAAGATGCCTCTGCAGAGACTACAGTATAATGTCCTTTTACTTCCCTCCTTAACCCTTTATTCTTTCCAGAGAGGTTAATTCTCCTCAAAACCTACAAAGTATCTACACTATCATGAGAACAGATGGATAACAAGAATATAGCAAAGCTGATATTGTGGTTTTGAGCCTCAACCTAAACTCACATACAATGCAAAGGACAAATTGATGTGACTAGTTTTGTGGATTAATTTATTGCAGAACTATATTCATCTGTAGCTTAATGAAAGAATTTTTTATTGTGATTGATCGTCATAAAAATAATATAGAAGATCATTTGATTGAAACTGTAAATCAATTTGCTCATTGTATGAATTATTTCATATGTTTCAACCAGTAGCAGGAGTTCATAACAAAAAGCTCGAAACAAGACAACAAAAAAGTAATTTCAACAAAAACTCCATTGCAAAGTTGACCTCAGACCAAACATTATTTTTCCATCAATTATTTTGCTAAAAAATAACTTAAACAATTAAAAATATTAATAAGAGTTAAAAAAACCAAAGCATCTATATACAACAACTGAATATGGAAACAGAAGGTGGTGGTTCAAGAGATTACCAGCTTCAATTACACTGGAGTTAATATATTCCTCATCGTTCTCGCTGAAGTTTCCAGCTATGCTGCCATTTCCGTCCGAAGAGGAGCTGAAACTACTTTGAATTGACCTCAATTTCTTTTTGCATGGTTGGAGGAAACGACCATATGTTCTAGTTATGGTTCTGAGTCTACAAGAGGACCCCCAAAACGCACTTTGCAAATTTCTAGCCTTTGCAAAATGAATGTTAATAAGTGGAGCAGAACTTCCAACATAGTTTGCACAGACAGCATCAGTGTGGCAAACAACTGATCCCTTCAGAATTCCCATCTTGCTCTCTACCTTACGAGACAATTATAAAAAAATAAGCAGTTTAAACAAGTCGATGGTATAAAAAGTCAGCTAGAAATTATAAAATATAGATTGGTATAAGGGTGCACTTCAACTAAAGAAAAAATTACAAACTAAACTTCAATATACAACACACTGATGGTTAAGTTTTGACTTCCCAAAGATGGACAAAATATGCTAGAGATAGGAGATGAAACTAGATAGTTCAACAGAACATCTGCATCATTAATCAAACTTTAGATTATATAAAAAAATTTCCATTTGTTATTAAGCCTAAGCTCAAGAGAACTCATGGACTTGATTTCAGTTGTTCATGGGTTCATGCTATTCCCTCAAGACAAAAACAAGATTGCTTTTTTAACAATCCTTGAAGAAATAAACAAAGCAAGGGTTGATCAGACTCATGTTAGAATAATTGCCCATATGTGATAGGTTAATCTTGCACATGATATGTGATGCATGACTCATGGTTCTATGTTTCACTTGGACCGATACATATTGGGTCCTATGTACTGATCCAATGGCTTGTCAGGCAGGAGGCATGGACCATGGCCCATGTAGCATGTGTATGGTATGTGTAAGCATACCATGTGTCAATACGCTGTGTTGGTACGCCAACAAGTATTGGTTTGGCCAGGACCAGCATGGATCCGGTACCCGAAACATAAAACCATGGCAAGAATCCTTGCATCACCAACTAAGAAGTGACACTAGGCAGCAGGAACCTCATTTGGAAAATCTTTTGATCTAATAATTTCCAACAATACCAAGGGAATGAGAATCATCTGCCAATTTCACCTTCGGTCAAGTAAAATTGATATAAAATTGTCATCTACATATTCTTTTAGACTAATAAAAGAAGTATATGCAACTCTCAGTAGAAGAATAGGATGCCTACATGAGTTCAGAAATAAGAATAACTATTCATAAAAGTTATATGTGTCATTTGCAACTTGTCTAGGTTCATAAACTGATAATTTCATGTTCATGGATTCCCAAAGAGAAAGGGAAGAAATCAAATGAAAGGGGAGGCCATGACTTTTTGAAGCTGGGATTAGCATCACCATTTCTTGTCCTATCGTTTTGTTGATCTTTCTCGGATTATTTCATTTTCTCTCATTTTCTTTTGGCATGTACATAGGATCAATCGTCCCATGTTCTCAAGTTAAACATTACCTATGAATGAATCAGGGGAGGGGTCCCTCCTACTTTCTTGCTCCAAAAAAGAGTCAACAGACATGTCTCACAATGAGAAGCAATTATGTCTCTCGATATATTGCAGATTTTCTCCAATAAAAAAGATTCTGAATCAAAGATTTTGCTTTACTAAATCACCTTCAGTCCCTCATGCCACTTTACCAAACGCCTTCTCAGGTGATATTTCTGAAAACTCTATGATTACACAAACGTCAAATGAAAACCACAAAACTTGAAGGCATTAATGGGGTTAGTATGCAGCAAGTGCTCATCCTGTTTCTTTCCCTTTTCCTCATCATATCTTCCTCAGAAGCAAAGTTCACTCCTGTTCATATTCCTTTTGAATTCATCAAATCCATAAATCATCAAGTAAAAGCAATCATTCGAAACCACAGCAAGAAGGCCTGAGCCTTCCATGATCAACACAGGAACATAAGGAACTATACTACAAAGATCAAGCAGAAACGCAACACTCAATGGAACATCTCATCCATCAAACTGCAGCAGATGATCAAAGAACCACAGAACAACAATAAAAGCATAATACACCAACTGGTGTCTCGGTAATCAAACCGCTTTACCTGCAGCCAAAATACACACGGTCCCAGACTGTGAAGCTCCAACTCCAAACGATCACGAACGACTCAAAGATCTGTAAAGGATACTTGGGATCATCTATCAACGAAAAGACCAAGAGAACCCCACAAGAGGATGAATCCCAATCGCCAGTGTCTCGGATACTTTGTTTTATTGAGATCTCGTTCCTTATCTTCTTCCATGAAAAGTCGATACCATCCCCGGACAGTGAACGCTAAATTGTGAGATCCCAGGGAGGGTATTATAGTCATTTCGGATAGAGAAAACCGGGGGCGATCGTTAGATTCGCGCGAATATAGTGGCGAAAAGATTTCAACTACCAAATAAAAATAAAGAAATAGTAAAGCAACTTGATATAAAAAACTATTGGATAAGGATTCAATTAAAGCATTTATTCTGTTGAGACAATCGAATTAGGTATATTAATACAAATGATTTGGGTTTTTTCCCTATATTTTTCGAGAGTGAGTGAGAGAGAGAGAGAGAAAAAAAATCTCTTTTAATTCTATGGTTTAAATTTATTTGGTGGAGCAAATATCTTTGGTCCTTTTCATGTTTGTGCTTTTGTGTGACCTTTTATGTACCTTAAAGAATTAAGAATTCATATATGTATCCCACCCATTGACTTCTACCCAAAAAAAAATCTAGATTAGACACTATCCACCATCGTTATCTGTCACTACTTTGAATCTCTAAAATTTTTAATCTGAAATATTTTGAAATATTTTATCATCGTATTAAAGCTTTTGAAGGGAATTAATATTTATTAGAACTAAAATACCTCTCCTTTATTAGTTAATCAATTAATATGAATACGTGGGAACATGGTATGTAATTTCGAATGATACTGTCCGATACGAGCGGTACATATTGGTCCAATGGCATATCAGTATGTGGACCATCTGCTACCGGATGAACCGTGTTACAGTGCTACAGTAAGAGGAAATCGCTCGGTAAATCATGGTGTACCATTCGGTACGCCTTGATGTACCGCTCGATATGCTGATACCGTACCGTATCGAACCAACCTCGAAACATCGATACGGTACGGTATTGCATACCTTGCATGGGAACCACCTTATCAATTATGTCGACCCCACCTATCTTTCAATATTTTTTTTCTTTTTCACACGAGCTAATTATAAATTATTCCTTGCAATTAGTTATCTTTAGATCTAAATTCCTACACTTTAAAGAGTTATATTGAAATTTCTATCCTTATAAAAGTAAAATATTGATATTCTATTAAAAATATAATTTTATAAGATTAAAAATCAAGAGATAGAGATTTTGTTGAAGTAACAAAGTTAAATATTTTATTTTTGTAAGTATAGAAATCTCAATATAACTTTTAAAAAATATAGGGATCGAGATGTTAAAGATAACTATATA